AAGGAAAAAAAAAAAAAAAAAAAAAAAAAAACAGAACTTCAACTACACAGTCTACATAAAAAAACAGACTTTTTCAGGATTTTGTCTTCTTTAAGTAAGAAGAAGTGAAAACTAAAGGAAAAGCAAGAAATTTGTTCAGAAGAAAACTAACACTACTCATGAAAAAGGCCTAATTATTTAAGCTAAGAAATTATCTCGCTGCTTGAGATAGTGAGGTTAGATTAATAACTAAATTTGTACTGTTTTGTTATTCCTTAAATATAGTAAAGAGAAGCTCTTCATTGCCTCAAGAGCAAAACAAAACAGACTTAGAGTGCATTTAATCACAAAATTTATAAGGGAGAAATTTATATTAGACTTAAGGAGAAAATACTAGATGATTAAAATTACTTTATTATAAAAGGATTACATATAGAGAAGTAGGATAGTCTTCTTTGAACACCTACAATAATAGAATATCCTCTTACTTGAAATATCCATATATGGTCAGCTTAAGAAACAAGCATACATGTTATACAACCCTCACAGATCCTTTCCAGTCTTTTACTACAATGATTTATAATTTATTTCTCAATGTAATGCAAGGATCACTCCTAAGTAAAACTCACTGAATGGAACTGCCAGGTAAACTAAGCCCCAAATCCAAATACTTGTTTAACAATGTTTCAGGTTTATCCTTTTTGCAGCCTCCACCCAATAACAGAGTGAAAGAATTATAAACCATACCTCAGGTTGCATGGCTTTGACTTTGAAAATACTAAGCAACATATGGGGAAAAAAATACTTTCCTATACTAGCATTTCCTATATTAGGATTGTTTTGAAGATTAAATAATGCATGTAAAGCATTCAGCACAATGACTTGCAAACAGTAAGTATTTAATGAATTTTAGCTATCATGTTTACTTTAGCAAATATAAAACATGCATATTGTCATCATCTGAACGTGTACAAGTCAATAATACAACTAACAGTTCATAAAAACATAAGCATTATCTTGAAGTCACTCAAAAGCTGAAATATTTAAATATGTATAAAAAACAGAATATATAAAAATTTTATGATACATCATGGTCCTTCATTTCTGGTTTTTATCACTAATTATAAAATTAAAATAAAATTTCTCATTAATATAAATGAGAAATGAGCACTAGACTAAAATCCTAAACTCTGATTTACTACATACCGTAATTAACTAATATGAACTGGGACATGTCAGAAATTCTCTAAATCCAGTTATTTTATTCCTCTGTAACATGGAAAATATATTACCAATTCTATCTTCCAAAGCTGTTGTCAGGCTAAAAGGAGACAATGTATTCAAAGTGCCTTACACACATATAAGGAATGTTATTTCATTGTTCTTTTAGCAAGATGAAAATGACCTACCAAATCTTTAAACATCCTAAATTCAAAGTCAATTTATGAGTTCTGCAAAGGCAGTTCTATGATTCAGATGCTGTTATATCAGAGTCACTAGGATAACTGGGTCCAAAAATACATTTATAGTGAATAAGCAATTATGCAGGAGAAATATTTAACCTATAACATGCACGTGTGCACATGCACACAAGATTCCTGACTATTTCTTCAAGTAAGTTCAGCAGAATATCTATTTGGCAAATCATTTTGTATTACGCAGAATCTTAAAACGAATTTAAAAATAATCTTTTAAAATTTTTACTGTTACATATTATTTAGTAATTTAAGACTAGGCTATCATTTAATTTTTTTCTGAATAATTCAGGAATTTGAACATAAAACTACATGCTGAATTTCAAGGTTATTTCTTAATATCCTTACTCCTCATCCTACAGATGAAAAATATTAAGAACCTCCCTCCTTTCAACATAAAAACCCATGCAGAAAAGAGTTACATAGCAGCTCTGAGGCTGCTATCTTTAGAAGGGCCAGCTTACAAAGTTGGCCCGAAGGTGTCATCTGGGAACTTGGCACTTGAACCATTCCCTAACTGAAAATGTGGTTCACTGCCTAAATTATTTGTGTTAACAATGTGATCTATGGTAAACACCTGCTTTTTAAGGGGGGGAGTCTGGAATTTTATTTCATGCTAAACAGAGAGTACCTTCCTAAGCAGCCCAATAATAGCCTAATGGACTTCCCTGGGCAGGAAAACCATATACATACCATTGCTTTGTTCACTGCTAGATAAAGGAACAAATTCAGTGTGTTCCCACTGGTGGAAGAGAACATAAGCAAACTTATGCTTGGATTATTCTCCCAATATGTAATAAGTTATATGTAAGAACTAATAATGCAAGTCTTTCTCAATTAGTGATTAACATCCCACAATCACTCGAAAGTTAAGAAATTTCAACAGAAACACTGTATATATCTGATTTTATTTAAAGGTTATAAACTTGAAACTTAGATTATTTGTCTGGTGTAGACTTCATCCCGATTAAAAGTTTTTTTTTTATCCTATTATATCGCATAATAGTTTTGGACTGCAGTATTTAACTATATATTTTAAAGAAAATTATAAAGACAAATTAATTCACTAAGATAATAATAATCATGTACCTCTTATGTACACAGGACAAATACTTCATGTTGACTTTTTTTACTTAGTTTCATACCCAATATATACATAGCTCAATGCTATTTACCTATGTATATAAATAAGAAAAATAAAAAAGAACAGAAGATGGTCACAAAGCCTTTTTTCCTATCATCTTTAGGACTTTTTTTAATAAACAAAGAAACGAGTTTTTTGTTTTTTGTTTTTTTTTTTTTACAGTACGCGGGCCTCTCACTGTTGTGGCCTCTCCCGTTGCGGAGCACGGGCTCCGGACGCGCAGGCTCAGCGGCCATGGCTCATGGGCCCGGCCGCTCCGCGGCATGTGGGATCTTCCCGGACCAGGGCATGAACCTGTGTCCCCTGCATCGGCAGGCGGACTCTCAACCACTGCGCCACCAGGGAAGCCCGAAACTAGGGTTCTTTATACCATTTTTTGAAAATAAAATTCACTAATTTGGGTGCAAATCAAGGAAAGTTAAAGTGTCTAGCAAATATTCCCATTTGTAGTCACAGATAACACACATAATTTCTAAAAAACCTGTTGGTCTTATTGAATAAAATTTCAAAGCAGCTAAAAAAAAAATCACAGGTTTCAAAATATAAATTTTATGTTTAAACCCAAGTTTAATTATGTAAATATAAAGTAATTTGAAAAGTTATACACAGTTATATATTTATTTATACTTCACATGTTCTTATCAGTTGTTGCCCTTTCTGCTTTATGCTAAACCTACTTTGCAGTGACATAATGGATTTATCAGACAGTAACTCTCTTCTGAATTTCACTGATTATGTATCATAGTATATGAAGTTGATTAATAGACTGTGACTGCAAAGGCGATACAAAAAAAACTCCCATGGGGTAACTGCAAGATTGAAAAAATATTCATTTACTTACATCTGTACTTCAAACAATTTTTATAACTCTTCAAAAAAATCCAAAAGTCAATCCCAGTTATAGGTAAGATACAACTATACAAATGGGTA